AAGCTCCTGTGTTCGCCTCTCAGCAGAGCACAGGTGACAAGAGTGAGAACTTGTGGTTGAAATGGAAATGAGGAAGGAGTAGAAGGAAAAAGTGAAGTTCAACCTGACCCTCTTCACTTGCTGTGAGGATGTCCTTGTCACAGGCAGGCCACTCCCAGACCTGGAAGATGAGAAGAATGATACTGACAGATTGACAAATGGAAGGGATTGCCATCAAGAGCATGTTACTAACACATTGTCCTAGCCCACTGATATATATGTATTTATACTGCTCAGTTCTTAGCCTCAGGGCAAGGGACCAGAATAGCAGGGGATTTTTAATAACCAGCTCCTCATTGAGACAGATAATGGGCCTTGCAGCTCCCAGACAAGGAAATATGACCCAAATGAGCAGGAATTTACTTGAAGCTTTACGTTTTTTTAAAAAGTGAGATTGTTGCCTTAGATTTGAGGAGCCTTGGGGGTCCCCTCAGGGGGTGAACATCCTTGGTGTGATTTGCTCTGTGGGCTTGGGAGCTCTCCAAGTTCCCACCTGGTATTTCTTCTTCTGAGCTTGTACCATGTTCTTCAAATCAGGCCTGTCAGTGTGTAGTAAGAACTGTCCTCTTCTCCAGAGGCTGAGAAGAACAAAGTAGTAGAAGGAAATTCCCCTGCAACCGCCTGAGAGGGAGGGTGGAGAGGGAGCAGACGGCAGGGGGTGTGGAGGCTCCGTGCCATCCATGGGAGATGGGTGTGTGGAGTGTGTGTGTGGTGCTCTCCCGCCCGCATGGTTCTGGAAAGAGACCTCCTTCTAACAGGGACCCCTCTGTTGTTGTGGCTCAGAGCTTCGACTTGAGAAGCATACTTTCCCAGTGATGCCACTGGATTCCTGATGTGTGACACTCCCGGGCAGCATCGTGAAGGGTGCTGTTGACTGCCTTGGAGATCCCAGACAGGGATACCATTGTGAGTCACATTGAACATGTGAGCTCCCCTTCCCATGACTGGCGCTATTCTTAGTACCGTTTTCTGCTCTGGGGGACAAAGGTCACTGGGACCACAGTCCATTTGGGTAGGTGGAAGGGGCTGGGCACAGGGATGAGGGGGAGTTGCAGGGGGAATGGAGGAAGAGGCTTTACAAGTTTAGGATATAAACTTGGAGCAAGGGCAAGGGATGGGGCCCTGGAGCTCTGTGGGGTTGGGCAGACCTCTGCTAAGCAGCACAGAATCACCTTCTAGAAGAGTCGTAACTGGGAGTGCTGGACTCATTCATTGTCTACACCAGTTTTGGGTGTAAGAACTTCTGATGGGCCTGGATGTGGGTGTTGCTGGTGGATCTGTGTAGCCAGTGTGCCTTCCAACCCCAGAGCTGCCTCTAAGCTTTGGGTTTCCAAGTGGCCCCGAAGTCCCCTCCCAGACCTGAAGTGAGGGTGATGTATTGCTGTGGAAACAGGCTCCTGTGTTCGCCTATCCATTGGCCCAGCCAGGACCTGAGCCCACCCCGGCCCAGTGTTTCTGGCTGGAAGAACATTTCCATGTCTTTCCTAGTTCTCTTGCTCCCCACAACAAAAAGGCAGTTTAGGAGTCAGCCAAAAGGTGCTAGAGAGGAAGCTTCAGCAGCCATCATGAGCTCCTCTCACTTGGTACAAAAATGTGGGCTTTCTGAAGGGTGAGCTCTGTGTGTACCAGTTAGGCTGGAGTTTGCCTGTGGGGTTTCTCTGCAGGAATCAGGGGAAGGAGCTTGGAACTGACATCTCTGTTATGTTGACTGTCCTATTGTGAAGCCAACGGGAGATAATTCTTCCCATTCGTATTCCCATTATTTCTTTAGGTATCTGCTTTTCCTGTCTATCCTCCTTCTTTCCTTGGGTGTAAACAGAAAAAAAGAGTTAGAGAGCTCTGCACCTAGGACTTGGGCTTCTAGGGCCTGAATTTAATTTTTTTTCATTCCTTTTGAACAAAAGAAAAGTCACAATGAGGACAAAAGTCCTCCGGCGAGTACTCACTCTGTCCCAGACTCACTGGGTCCTATACGCTGACATCACAGGGAAAGGGCAGGGCGGGGCATCTACAGCCTATGACTGCTTGACATTTCAATTTGGAAAATGCACTGGTAGAAAAGGAAAACTCACCATTCCGTCAGAGGTTCCTCCTCTGGGAGCTGGTGCAAACCACGGGAATCGAAGGTCCCCTCTCTGCACTGTGGCTACCAAGTCCCAAGGGCAGGAGACTGCAGTGCGCTCCTGGGCCCTGTTTTCCAGCATGGACAGATGTGCTGACCACTCCCCGCCAAAGACTCATCTGGCAGAAGGATCTTGATCTTTCCATCCTTTTCCTTGGCTTGGTGTCATGAGACCCTGTGCCCCAGAGAGATTTCAGATAGTGGAAGAGAGGCTAAGGTGAACACCGGGAAGAAGAAACAATGAAGTAACATAACATAACGGCTACCACAAGAGGATGCTGGAAACATCACCTGTGGAGGTGGAGGCGGTGGCGGGGGCTGGCACAGCCACTGGTGGTCAGATGACTGGGAGAACCACTGGCTCTCCCATGTCCTGCAACTGCTATGAGAAGTCGGGGAGAGAGTTTGTAAAGTCAGGTCCTCTTATGCCTTGGAACATTGCACTCAGTCAGGCAGTTTAGATGCCAGGCCTTTGGCCTTGTCGTGTCCAGGGGGACAACGGTAGCATTGAGATGAAGAATCTGGGGCCAAGCTGCCTGGGTTCCGGTCCTGGCTGCTCCACTGCTGATCTAAATGGCCTCACAGTGTGTCAGTTTTCTCTGCTGTGAAGTGGTAGAAACAAATAGCACAACAGTTGCATCCACCCCACAGAATTATTGGGGGGAATGAAGGAAACGAGTGCAGGGTGTCACAGTGTCTGCAGCGCAGTAGGTGCCTCATCAATCATAGTACTCCTTCGTTTTTCTCGGTCAGGGTCTAAAGCAAACCCCTCTCCTCCGAGGCTTCTTTTACATAGCTTTGGGGTAGGTGGGTTTTCTTCGTGTCTCTCTTCAGTCTCTATAGTTATTGTGAGTTTCTCCAAGAAACCTATTCTGTGACCACGGCTCTGGCAGCTGCATTTCTTGAGAGCGATTTACTGTTTTACCTCTTTGTGTCTGTTAGGATGGCTTCTCAGTGGGTTTCTCTGAGAATGTCACGGTTAGTTTTGTGAACCCAGGCAGAGAATGAGTAGCTCACGCCTTTAGGCAACTCCCAAGAAACCTGCAAATGTCCCTGAGTTGAACACAAAATGGTTTTTACTGAATGGAAGTAGAAACAGAGGAAGCTAGGGCTTTACCAGTGCAGCCCTCTGGGCTGTTGTTGGAATGTTGCTTTATTTTGTAGGCATTCACTGAGTCACTTTATTCTGGAATACATGTAAGGTATTTCTTGCAAGATGGTTTTAAAGAGCTAATGGTCCATTCTCAGAAAGAGGAGGTAGAGCTATTCCATGTTTTCATATTTAGCATGGCAAGTGCTGAGGAGGAGCCTTGGAAACCACCATTAGGAAGTTGTTACTGGAGGAGGACTTCCTTTGGCTGTGCGATGATAGCTCGCTTCAGTAGCTGTTTCTTTACTTCACTGGAGGTTACCCTGGTCCTTTGAGTCTAAAGGCCTGGGTACTAGACCCAGCACCATCATTTCACTAACTGTGGCTCGGAACAAAGTCACAGTACTTTGCTGAGCACCTTTTCTGCACCAACAGAAAGGAAGCCGAAAGACCACTTGTGCTTCTCCTTACAGCAGAGGGTTGGGTGTGGATTTTAGGAGCAAGCACAATGATGCATGTGAACATGTCTTGTACAAATACGAGATTCAACAAGACATTACCCTTATAGATTATGAAGGCAATTTCTTTTTTAGATTGAGGGGGAACCTAAAGTTTGTTTCCTGTTAAATCTCAGTTTACTTTGGATCAGACAAATTTGCAACTCCGGTGAAAAATTAGAGCCTTAGTGAGCAGAGCTTTCCTGTATGAGCTGGAGCTTCCTGGGCTATATCCAGAGATGTGGACTGGTTCTTTCCCAGTCCCGCTCTGCCCAGTTTATGTTATAAGGGACAGTGCAGACATGTAACAAGCAATACGGACTTTTGAACCCCTATTTGTCTCTCTACCTACACCTATAAATTAAGAATCCCTGGTGGCATTGTTATTTCAAATGAGAAGGTTATCCTGAATGGAAAACAGTGCGAATATAAACCTTTTAGCATAGAATAAATTGACTGTCAGGGTATTGATGGCTAAGACAGAAAAGTGTGTGTGTGTGTGTGCGCGCGCGTGCACATGTGTAATTTAGAATAACTGAACCTGTGTAGAATTTCTGAGGCAGTCCTCTTCTGACCTCTGAGGATTTCCTGGGTGGAAAGTTAATCCCTCAAATAGTAATGATTTTTTTTTTTTTCCCTTAGTTTGAGTGCTTTCCTGTAAGTGGACTGGAAGGGAGGGTGGTGGCAGTAGAGAGAAATATTATGACTGAGCAGATATTTAACATCTATTTCCTTGTGAGAGGGCCCGAGGATAGTGACCCTTCTTCCTCACAAATCAGGGGCCACAGGCTGCCTACCAGAGAGCAGTGCTTATGAGCCATAACTTCTGCTCAGAACTGGCAAAGACGTTCATTCCTTCGTTAATATGTTTCTTACTTTTGAAGGCAAAAATAATGACTTAGTTTTTGAAGGTGTAAAAGATGATGCTACCTTAGAATAGCCCAGAGGATAGGCACAGTATTCTCTTTCTAGAATTTGCTTAGCAATAAAAATGAACCGATCCTTAAGTTAATCAAAATAAGGCACTTGACACATTTTCTTCCATGCTTTTGTTTTAGAGGGAGGCCTTTGTCTTTTCTATCTGTTCGAGCTCATACCACTTCCTCTGACATGTGCACTATCTGTTGCCTTCATTTTCTCCTGGCTGGATGGGCTGAGAGAGGAGGGATGTGGGAGTGCCGTGTGTGTGGGGATTAGCTGCGTAGAGTGCTGAGTATCTGGTGTAATGGTTCACAATGGCTTGTGTTTCTAGGCAGTGGACCAATCCAGCTGTGGCAGTTTCTTCTGGAATTACTCACTGATAAATCCTGTCAGTCTTTTATCAGCTGGACAGGAGATGGCTGGGAATTCAAACTTTCTGACCCAGATGAGGTAAGGAAGGAGGGGCTTGCAAGTACTGTGCTGAGGAAGGATGAGAGAAAACCCCGTGGAAGGGGTGGTGTGGACCTGAATGACATTTTCCAGGACTGCGATTCCCAGCTCTGCCACTTGCCACTCCCGGAGCAAGCTAGGTAGCCTGTCTGAGCCCCAGTTTCATTATTTGGAAAATAGAGAAAATATCTATGTTACCCATTTGTCTTACAGGATTAGCTGATAGGAGGCACTCATGTGCCTGGCAGTAGGTCAGTTATCACCTACAGAGCTGCCTCCTGTGACTTAGCCTCTTCCTAGCCCCGTGGCTCTGTGAGTGTGAAAGGGGCGAGACAGTTCAAGAGGCCTTGGGAGATTGGCTCATTAGTTTCTTATTTCATTACACACATGCTTATGGAGTAGTGGTTCTGTGCCATGCCCAATTCTGAGGATAAAAAACAATGAAGAAGAGAGACAACATCTCTGTTCTGGCAGACATGAGAAAGTATTTGCGCCCCGGTGTGGAAAGAAACACTTTCTGTTGATGAAAGGCAGGTATGATTGCAGCTCAGCTCCTCCACTTCACACTTGCCTGTTAGATTTCATGCTTGCAAAGCAAGGAGATTTTACTAATAATATGGGGAAAGAGGAGAGCGTATAGTGTGGCTTTTCATTTATTTTTTAAAGTCAAATATTTAATCCTATTCCACAGAAGTTCAGGGTCACTCTGTTTTCATCAACTTAAAGAATCACTGTGACTCCCAGCCCCGCCCAACCCATGAAAAATGGAATTCAGAAGCGATAGACCAGAAAAATATTTTCTCTATGTACATGAATCTCAAATCATCTTACTGGAGCATCATGGGTCACCGTGAATGGGTATAGCATAGGCATACAAACATATATATTTGGTCTATCTTGTAGATCTTTTCCTACTCCTCCTTTATTTTTCTTTTTAAATTTCAGGTGGCCAGGAGATGGGGAAAGAGGAAAAACAAACCTAAGATGAATTATGAGAAACTGAGCCGTGGCCTACGCTACTATTACGACAAAAACATCATCCACAAGACAGCGGGGAAACGCTACGTGTACCGCTTTGTGTGTGACCTGCAGAGCCTGCTGGGGTACACCCCTGAGGAGCTGCACGCCATGCTGGACGTCAAGCCAGATGCCGATGAGTGATGGCACTGAAGGGGCTGGGGAAACCCTGCTGAGACCTTCCAAGGACAGCCGTGTTGGTTGGACTCTGAATTTTTAATTGTTATTCTATTTTTTATTTTCCAGAACTCATTTTTTACCTTCAGGGGTGGGAGCTAAGTCAGTTGCAGCTGTAATCAATTGTGTGCAGTTGGAAAAGGAAAGCCAGGACTTGTGGGGTGGGTGGGACCAGAAATTCTTGAGCAGATTTTCAGGAGAGGGAGAAGGGTCTTCTCAGAAGCTTGAAGGCTGTGGCTTAAGAGAGAAAGAAGACTAATGTGTCCAATCATTTAAAAAAATCACCCATGAAAAAGTGTCTTGAGTTGTGGACCCATTAGCAAGAGACATTGTCACATCAGAACTCATGAAACTGATGTAAGGCAATTAATTTGCTTTTGTTTTTAGGTTTGGGAGGGCAAAAAAGAGGTGGGTGGGATGAAACATGTTTTGGGGGGGATGCACTAAAAGCTGAGAACTATTTACCTATCACTCTAGTTTTGAAACAAAGATGGACTTCAGTGGGGAGGGGCCAAAACCATTGTTGTGTTACAATTTATTTTATTAAATTTTGTGCCAGTATTTTTTTTTCTTAAAAATCGTCTTAAGCTCTAAGGTGGTCTCAGTATTGCAATATCATGTAAGTTTGTTTTTATTTGCCGGCTGAGGATTCTGTCACAGTGAAAGAAAACTGTTTATATAGACCCCATTGGAAAAGCAAAACGCTCTCACTGAGATCAGGGATCCCAAATTCATGGGACTTATATAAGAAGGACAATTAATGCTGATTTGGGTACAGGGGAATTATGTGTGTGAATGTCATCTACAATTAAGAAAATATTAGTACATCCCTTTACTTACTTGTTATTAGTGGATTCTCGGGGTTTGGACTTAATGTTGAGCTAAGAAGCATTAAGTCTTTGAACTGAATGTATTTTGCATCCCTGGTTTTGGACCACAGTAAACGTAGGAGCACTGTTGAAGTCATGGAAAGGAGATCGAAGGAGGAAGATTGACTTGGTTCTTTCTTAGTCCTGTATCTGTAGCACAGATGACTTGGAATAAAAGCTGTATGCATGGGCATTACCCCTCAGGTCTTAAGAAATAAGTCCTGAACGCATGTCGTTCCAAACTAACACTCTGTAATTTTTCTTTTATGTCTTATTTTCCAAGAATCATCCATTTTTTGCACCCCTCACCCCCAACTCTGTTATTCAGTAGAGAGAAATGTATGGCTTTCTGATTGGTGAGTGAAAGAGTAACTTGAGACATGACCTAAGTTGAAGAGTTTAGACTTGCTGAGGTTTAGAAGTGATGGAAATGAAGAGAGCATTTCAATAAAATGTGACTTGGCTGTCTTTGGAAGAGAAGTGCAAGACTTTCCTTTGAAGAATTTAAATTAGTCTGGTAGGATGTCAGGTGAGACTGTGTATGCAAAATGAATGGCACAGGTGATGCTAGGGTCTGATGTCTTGGCACAGGGTAAGTAAAGGTTAATTCCAGAAGAGAGGAATGACTTGAAGGCAAAGGAAACAAAGGAAGGAGGTTCAGTGAAGAGAATGAGGTTGTCCATGAGATTTGAATAGATTTTTAGTTTCCCCAATGTTTAAATACAAACATAGTCAAGCAAGGTAGTCATCTTTCTGCTGGTTGTGAGGGGGAATCTGAAAATGGAGTTTTGGGGGAAAAGTCAACATCTAACTCGTGAGGAAAAGTGCCTAATACAATTAGAACCTCCCTCACTCTATAGTTGCCCCGTTGAAAGGACGAGGAGGAGGGGTGGCTTTTTTGGACTTCCGTGAGACAAGGAAAGACATATTTCAGGTAAGCTTCTCAGGGCTGGCCCTTTTTGGGATTTGGATGAGAAATTGGAAGTACTAACTACTTTCTAGTGTATCTTTAAGAAAATTGATTGTTGTTTACTCCCAGATCCTCTTGCAGACGCAGAATTATCAGGAACATAGCTCTGTGATTCATGAGTGTACCCATACTGATGAACTGGAGCATCAATATGGAAAGCGAAGGCAGAATTATCCCAGCTGTGTTATTTTGATCTTTTGGATGCAGGTGCCTTAATGAAGCTCTCAAAATATTTTAGGAGCTGCTCAGGGAGTGTTGGGTGGAACTGTTTGGACTACATTGTTTTCTCTTAGATTTTGTGATTTTTGTTGGGCACTGGCAAAAGGTGTGTGTGAATGTGTGCATGTGTGTGAATGTTGTGTGTGTGTGTGTGTGTGTTTGCAGACATGCAAAACTGCAGCTGAAATAATACCTGAGATTTCTAGGTAAGTCTTTCCACATTTCAATAATGGGTAAGAGTAGAACCAAGGCCGGGTATCAATTATTGCTTGCTGTTTGCAACCAGGCATACAATCACTTTCTGAAAGCATCCACCGTTCCTGTTAAATTTATGTTGGAAGCTCTCCTTCTGTGAGTGTAACTCCTGCAGTTCCTCTAGCAGATAAGATATAAGAAAGTGCCTCCTAGTGCTCCTCCGCCCGCTTGTTTGCTAAAATTCCCTTTCTCTCTAGGTCCACCATTTTCAGGATTTGTAGATAGTGTATTAATTAAGACAGCTTTGTCGATCTGGCCAGATGTTTTTTCTCCTTTGTCCAAAGGCCAGAGACCATCCCAGGAAGAGTGGTGGGTGGTTTATACACTGGAAATGTTGCGTTTATGCTTTTTAAAAACACATGTTAACTTCAGAGGAAGGATGGGCAAATCTGGTCTAGCTGGGTGAAACCCTTATTTTCCCAGAGATGCCTTAACCTTTGTCGGTTTTGGCTTTAGGGTTCAGAGTCACTTTTGTTCCCTTCTTCATTCTGGGGAGGGACTTCCCTACATAGAGCCCTGATTTTGTGGCCGTGGGGATCGGAGGTAGCATTCAAAGATCAGATGTGCTTTTCCTCACTTTGGAGATGAACACTCTGGGTTTTAGAGCATTAACCTGCCTAACCTTCATGGTGAGAAATAAACCTTCTCTCTTCTAGTCATGCTGTGCATGCCGCTTACTCTGTTGGGGTCTATATAAATTTGTTGAACTCTTACCTACATTCCAAAGAAGTTTCAAGGAACCATAAATATATGTATACATATACATATATAAAATATATATATTAAAATAAAATTATCAGGAATACTGCCTCAGTTATTGAACTTTTTTTTAAGAATACATTTTTTTTAAGCTGAGAAGTATAGGGATGAAAAAGATGTTATATTGTGTTTGACTATTTTCCAACTTGTATTTTCATATAATTTATATTTTTTAAAAGCTGAAAATTTAGAAGCAAAATGAAAAAAAGGAAAAGCAGGTGCTTTTTAAAAATCAGAACTGAGGTAGCTTAGAGATGTAGCGATGTAAGTGTCAATGTTTTTTTGTTTTTTTTTTTTTAATGCAAAAAAATTCTTATGGCGGAGTTTTTTGTTTGTTTATTTTAGTAGCTGATGCTGGCACATCATTTTGCTGGAGAGTTTTTTATATACTGTAGCCTGATTTCATATTGTATTTTAAACTGTGTGAAATTAAAAACAAAGAATTTCATTCATAATGCTGTGGCTTTGGCTTGATTCTTTCTTGTCTGGATCATGTATTAAAGCAGAACAAATCAACCAACCAGAGGCAAGCACAGAGGGATGCAGCTTAGTCTTTCTGATCTCACTAGCTCAGGACCATTGGTGATAAAGATTTCCTAATAAGGTAAGAACTATAATAGGAATGTAGGGAAGTCATCAAACATCCCAAACATTAAATATATTTTGTCATCCTTTGTAGAATGTCCCTGGCCTTGTCAGACCTAATTTCTTCATGTCTGAAGGACTAAGAGCCATGTGAAGAAAATTTTTAATGACTCAACAGATAAACATTTGATTTCAGCTAGGTACCGTTCCTGATATGAATACAGAAAGTTGAACATCTTTAGTGGATCCTGTGGGAAAGGAACAGTATTCTTGTGTCCACCACTGATAGTAATTTTGCTCTGTGGCAACTTGGGCCCTTCACATCTATCTCCTTGGCCCCAACTCTTTCACTGGGGCTGAAGATTGGGAATAATAATATCTGTCAGAACCCCTAGCAACCCATTCCATAAATAAAATCATATTTATAAGTGCTTTGGAGGGGACTGCTTAGGAACACATCATGCATGGTGCTTTTTCCTTGTTGCTGAAACTGTAGAAGGTGGATGTTTTTAATTAACACCAACATTTGCAACATGAATCCCAGCTCACAGCTGGAAAGTGAATTTTTGCTGAATTGTTCACAAAGAGAGCTCTGTTTTTGGAAAATCTGTTTCTTCAGGCCTGGAGCTTGAGGTTTGCTGAGTACACGTTAAGCACGGACTGTGTGGTCTGGTGGTCAGGGAGCAGGACTGGCCGCGAATAAGCCTCCAGCCCCTGAATCCTGGTCAAGCCACCAACATTTACTGGAGACTTTGGGAAAAATGGCTTCAGGTCCTTACATTTTGTTTTTAGTTTTCAACTGCAAACCTGGGCAAAGCCACAATTCCTGAGCCAACCTGAGGCCACATTTGAACTCTTCTGAATAAACAGCACATGGAGAATAGGTTTCTGCTTCAGTCAAGGATTCAACCAGAGAGCTTCCCTTCAGTGCCAAGTTGCTGTTATCCCTCCAAGTACCTGACCTAATGCTCACCAGGGTCAAAGATGCAAGATGTACTTGAATGAAATCAGCTTAGGCCTACACTTCTCCCACTAGGAGCTAGAGTTCAGATGAGGAACCCTCAGGCAACCGGGCTTTGGTGATTTCTCTTAACAGTACTGCTGGGACCATGGTTGAAGCTGCAGTGGTGGAGGTCTGGAGGGGAGACTATCTTCCAAAGCAACTGCACAATTTGGGAGGATCGGGCAGGGTGAGGATAGAAGGAGACACAAGGGAAAGTGGAGGTGATGATCACACTCTGTAGATTTGAACAGCTTTCAGGAGGTGATGGGATAAGAAAATGAACCAAGTCTACTCTGACTCGACTGCTATAACTTTGGAGCAAGCTACAGCACCCAAGACAAAAAGAAAAAAGAATGGATCGGCAGAAGTATATGAATGAAATGTAACTATTTTAACCTAAAAAGGGAAACGACTGTGATTTGTGCTTTGGGTACAATAAGGCAAACAATGTGAACCAGACGTCACACACAGGCTGCTTCCACGCCACAGAGATGTACACTTCGGCCTTCACAGTGTAGGAAACCCAAGAGAAGAATGTACTGTAGTAGGGTAATGGGATGTCTTTGGATTCTAGCATATTCCTTCATAGCAACCACCATGGGCACTGAACTGAAGCTGCTTCCTTTAGGTGCATGTCAGTCTCCTATTTTATCTCTCATAGGCCAGGCCCACACATTGACATTCCTGCCTTGTCCCTGTAGAATTTAATTTTGTGACCCCTGTGTAGATATCTATCCACATTCCAGGTTTATTTGGCATGAAGCTCATTTTATTCTAGAGCCTACAGTGGAAGAGAGTACAAGAGGTCATCAGGTTCATCAGAGAACCATCTGACTTCTAAGCCCCGTTCTTTCCATGACGCCATATTGCTGGCCTAGAACTCTGAAAAGTCTCTTTTGATGATGCTCGCTGATGGCTCACCAGCTCTGGGAGCCACAGGCCTGGTTACTAAGGGGTACATTTCATACATCAAATACGGGACAAGGACAAAGTCTTCTTTCAGTAAGTAAGCCTTTAAACTTCCATACTGCTTTTTGACCTCCGCTTTTCCCCAGGGGCTGCTCTGGAAGGTGGTTTGCGACGCAGTTCTAGTTGTACAGAATCCCTTCTCTGGCTTGTATACAGGGATCCTTGACCCTCCTCGTGGCTGGATTAAGGACCTGGCCCTTGCATTTGTGGGCATATTGGCTCGGCATGCAGCTGGCATCTCCTTACTCTGTGAGATCCCTCCATGCCGTGAGAATCCTCACCTAACTAACAGAAGAGAAAAGCCTTCCCCCTGGCACTTTTTGCAGTGAGGCAGAGATTTATGGAGCCTGATAAAGGCAGTTGTTGATCAATTGGTGAAAATGCCACAAGGTTTGAAGTTGAGGAAAAAAAACTTTGATGAGAATTTGGAACCCCAAATGAGGGGTAAAGTGGCTCCGGCCTCTTTGTCCCTTGGTCAGTGCCATTTCCTGGTTTACTCAATGTTCCAGTCCCTCTCCCTGTATCCACTTTCCTGGCAAATGCTTCTGCCCTGGGAAAGCCAGTTGCATCAGATTGCCTGGTGTATCTCAACGTCCTGACATCCAAAGTAATGATAGCGATGATCATCTGCCCACAGCAACCTAGGAAATCAACAGGGGCCAGCCAGGCTCGTGACAGGCTGCACAATCCCCAAAGCCTGTTTGAGTTTCCAGTCCTGTCTCTAATCTCTCTTCCCTGCCACTCAGGCTCTCGTGCTCTCTGGACCACAGCATTTCTACAGAGCTTGGATATCGGGTCAGCCCTGGTCATTCCATGTGATACATGGAACTTAACAGCACAAGGATGTTTCCAGCAGGCTCTTGTGGGAATTAGTGAGGGTCAAGATAGAGTCACGACCTTCTCTCTCCGCTCCACATGGTCAGCCTGAGCCGCTGGCCCTGGGCGGTAACAGGCTCTTTGTAACCTTTTTATAGGCAAACCTACAATTTCAGCTGTGACTCTTCTTACACCTTGTCAAAGGCTGTCCCCCAGATGTACCTAGAAATAGCGCATGTCCAGGTATACTCAAAGAAGTGGCAACTGTCTTCGCAAGCCTGAAGAGCTAATGATGAGTGCTGGGTTTGGTCTGGGATTGCCTCTGTGAAACAAGGATATTCCTAACTTTAGAAGAAGAGATGGGACCGGGAGCTTCCAGATGGTTTTGGAACGGTTGTGTTCATCAGAAATAGTCATTACTCTTACAGATCTCAGGAAGGCAAGTTCAAAACTTCAAGTGTGACTGAACTGGGGGACTCCCTCTGCCAATCTACTTCTCAGGTAGACCAACTTTGTTCCATTTGTTCTGCCTTCCATGGGAATAAGGAAGTTTGCAAATACAGTGCAGCCAGTGCAGCCAGTGCACCTGTAATGTGAGATGCTTATCCATATTTGAGACAAGGTAAGAATGACGGTGAAGACAATGACCAGTATGACCAGTGTTTAGGGGTAACAGATATTTCATTCAAATATCTGTTTTCTCTATGGCCAAGTTTTCATCATGATAGCACAGAGCTGTGCACCTGAGCCCAAGGGGATATGTTTTCTTCACTGGCTCATCATGGGACACCGGCAGGCTGGGGCGGGTGTATGAACTCAGCAGGGTAGGCATGGAAGGCTGTACCAACTCTGAGCACAGATTTCCCATTTAGAGCAGGAAGGGCCCGGGTGTGCCATGCGCATGATGGTGGCATGTGTTAGCTGCTCTAGGAACCCGTGCACGTGGCCTCTGTGAAATCTCAGATCAGAGCCCTGATCACACATTCCAAAGAGCCTTCCTTCTGCAACTACAAGTGACAGTCCAAAACCTGAAGCCCAGTCCAGAAAGAAAATTAAATAAGAGTGACCACACATTCTGGTGTACCTGGAATTGTCTCAGAGTGCATCTCTTGTCCTGGCATAATTACTCAGCAGTTCCTGTTGGTCCCATGATACTTTACATGGTCTCCCAATTAAACCCAATAATGGCCTAGAGAACGATGAGATGAGGAGCAAATGCCAGAATTCTGAGATTCCACATTTTAGAGTCAAAAGAGACCTTAAAGATCATCTGGTGCAACCTCTTTAATTAGGCATGAATTCAAGGTTTAGAAAGGCGAGAGGACTTTCCCAATGTCGCCTCATTAATGATGGCACTGGTACTGGAATGCAGACCTCACTCTTCCCTCAGCGCTGTCTCTAGTCCCATGCTGTGCTAAACTTAATCCAATTTCTAGGCAATGCATCCTGGTTTAAAGCTGATTCTAGCTGATTCAGTATCGATCACGATAATTATTTCTATTAGTTCTGATGGACATAAGAATCTGCTGAACAATGGTGCTTAGGTTGGGAACGGGGGACTAAGAAAGTTGGATCACTGGGTGGTGGGAGGCCTTATCTTTCTCAGTTTGCAGAAACTGAAAATGCAGAGTCACTGACATCTCAGTTTACGGAACTATAGGATGTTATATCTAGAAGGTGCCCTACATAGTGAAGCCACCAAGAAAATTTATTCAGATAACAAACATCCATTGAGCATATGCTATGTGGTTGGTATTGGGTTCAGTAGCAGGGAAACCATAAAGAAGAAGGTAAACACTTTTTTTCCTTCACTCTGATTCTAGTAAATTACAATTTATAGACAAATAAAAGGGTAATACCATCCAGTGAAATAACATTATGATTTGACACATAGGAGGAACCTAACCTGAAGGAGTGTGTGGCCTGCAGGTGAGTAGCAGTTAGTTAAGTGCAGAGGGAAAGAGGTTCCGGTGGTGGGGAATGCATGTCCAAGGGCTGAGAGGTGAGAAAGTGTGTACACTGATGGAGAAACTGGAAGTAGTTTTATGGATCCAGAGCACAGTGTGCAAAGGAGTGTGGGTG